CACAAACGAATTCAGTATGTATTTTATCAACAGTATATAACTTCATTGAGTCCTGCCTCTGATGATATATAATTTTTTTTTTTTCAGTAGTAAACATTTTCCAGTCTGAACAGTAATCATAAGATACCACACAATTATTCTGAGGAAAATGAAGAAAGGATGTAACCTATATATAAGGTAAATGTTTGCTTTTCAGGTACCAGCTGCAAGAGTTCTCTGAGTCAAATGGAGTTTCCATGAGAATTTCAGTAGGAGAAATTTTGTTAATTGCAACATCTGGGCTTCAATAAGCAAAACTTTTGTCTTTTGCCCATTTCTGTGAGCCACTGGAGGAGACTTTAGCTGCTGTCCATGGCAACCAGAAAGTTTGAAGTCTGCAGTGGTACAGAGACAGCAAAGCAAAAAGGGCTGAACTGAGGCTGTATATTGTCTGGCCATGAACACCAGTGAGTTATTCGCCTTTTTCAGATGCCTTAAGAATATGAAGTGATTCTTAGAATTAAGTACAGAGCCAGCCAAGATCATAATCCTCAAACATCTGGAACTAAAACACAGCAAAATCAACACAGAAGTGTGGAAGAAAAGTACACGCTCTTTACAAATCCCTAGTCCTTCAAACCCTTTGATCTGTTTCAGTTCCCCTGGTTTTATTTATCTATAGTGAAGTTCACAAACCACGAACTGTGAACAGAACTGTGCAATTCATGTATCGCTGGTCCATCACTAACGCTCAGGTGAGTCCTTTTTACCACAAGTGAGAAATAAACACTTTGTCATCTTATCTGTGTTTGAAACTGTAATGAATTTGTTTTTAACCACCAGCATGTTCCTGGAATTATGGAAAGTGTCAGCTGAACAGAAAGGAACCATGTATTCTGTTTTCAAAAAAATATCTCTCTTCATTTATTTTCAGAGGCCATATAATGTACTGTGTACAGATTAGAATCATGTCAGTGTTAAGGAGGTGGCTAGCTATGGAAGAGATGCTCAAAACAGCAATGAAAAGAAGTTAAGCGTATGCCTGAAGTAGGAAGGACTTGTGGACATAGCAAAAGGATAATGTTTTGGGGGGGATGATGAGATATAGCATATTATCTACCTACTTCTTCAAGAAAACAGATTAGATATAGCCTTGAACCCTATATATTCATCTTTTATTTAAGTGATTTTAAGGGATAACAGTGAAGAATCATAAAGTAATTGACAGCTAGAGACCAATCGTAACATACCTTCTTTACATGACAGTAGTTTTAATAATGACAGACATCTAAGCTCAAAAAAAAAAAATCTTTCTCTTTTGGAAAGAACTGAAAAGAATGAAAGAACTAGAAGAGAGATGAAATATCATAGTATAAAATGAAAGGTCGTATACTAGTTAGCATTTATCCACTGCCAAACAGGTGCAGCTGTATATATAATCTGAACACAAAGATGACCAACAGCCATCAACGGCAATGCGGACACTGAAAATTAAAATTAAATCCTAGACTGCATCAGGCAAAGTTTTTTTCTACAAAAATAAATGTTCTGGTGAGAGCTCGTATGGCATATCATGTTCAGTTCTGCCACACGCACCCATAGGAACCAGCTCAGCACATATAAGTGAGAACTTGCTTGTTGAGCGAAACAAGTGAAGACTGAAAGAGAAGATGATTGCTGTCACTAAATACACTAGCTAATCAAGCCTTGGAGAAAAAAAAAAAAAAAAAGAAAAAAAGAGCTGTTTATGTTGAAAGACAACATTAGTACTAGAAAATAACTATAAAATGGCCATAAATACATTTAGGCCAGAAATTAGCAGGAAGTGTCTAACTACCAGGAAGGTCTGAAACAGTCCTCTAACAGCAGGAAGAAAACCAATTCACTGATGTTTTACTAAAGTAAAAAAAAGTAAAGTAAAAGCCTTTAAGATGGAATGTACTTTCTGAAATGTGTTTTTTATGTTATGAAGTTGCCTGTGATAATTCAAAAGCAGCCCCTACATCACTGGAAGTTTCTTCCAGACCAAGAACTATCCTTCCAGGTACTGAGAGAAGCCAGGAAAGGAAAGAGGAGACTCAGAAAGCCTCTGGTATCCAGTTAGCGATCTTCAAGAAGCTTAATAATTGCCTGCAGATTAAAGCATGGCTTGATAGAAGCCTCCAGTTTTTCCTAACTTAATATAGTTCACCTTTTTTCTACCCATTCTCCCAAATGTTGACAGACTGAACAATGTCTCTCCCAACCTGAAAAGTCACACCATGGGAGCAGAGGACAGCAGCTCGTCGTTTGAGGAAGGACAAGTGGCAAAGAGACAGCAAGACTGTAATGTGGGAAATACACAGAACTTCTGGTACAGTATTAAATAAATAGCAAAGTTGATTAATCAAGTCAAATGAAAATCCCCCCCATCTTCTAAGCTGTCTCTTATGAAACAAATAGATGCCTTATTGTGCTGACTCACTGCCATCATACCCCTTCCTCCAGTCTCCAGCTGGGATACCCTCCGTGTGTTCAACCCGCCAAGCGCGGCAGGCTGCATGGCCTCTGGGAAGGGGATTTCTTATGTCTGAGTTGGAGCTGAAGCCACCAAACAGAGCCTCTGGGCGCTCACATCATCTTCTCATCACCACACTTTCTCTCCTGCCTCTTGTTGTCCTCTGGCAACTCAGCTGGTGCCTCAAGCACAGTGAAATCTTCAGGGGTACAGATTCTGTATTTTGAGATGATGGAGCATTACCTGGGACTGTGGCTGGGGCCTTGTCCTATGCTACATTACAAAGGATGGAACAGAATGGGGGAAGTGTTCTGCACTTGGCTCTGCTGGGTTTGATATAATGTCTATCAGTGTTCATCTGCCTTTTAATTTTTTCCCCTTTCCTCTAGCTACAGGAGAGGTTGAGGAGCTGTTGCTCAGAATGAAAGTTGGGGTGAATCCAGCCCCTCCTAGTTTGAGATTTTCTCATTGTTTATGCCTCCCTTTTCAGGGATTAGATTTTGTACACCCACCTCACAAACAATTAATTGTGTCTTACAAAACATACCCAAATTATCTCTGATGATTTCCAAAGTTGGCTCACCACCTCAGCAACCCTGGAGGGTACAAATTTCCTCTCTTGGAGCCCACTGGCACCTGATGCACTGGAATTGGCAAGACTTGGTGATTTTATCCCTTTCCTGTTGGGAAGTGAGAGTGAGCCCAGCTCACCTCTGCTGTTTGGAATGGCTTTCACTGTTGTTTTTTTTTTTTTTTTTCCAGGAAACAGAAATTGTAATTGCTTTGGAGTTTTATTTTTTCTTCTTCATACATGGTAAAACCATAAATGTTGATATAAACCCCACACAGCTTCTCCCACCTGGACTACTGACTGTGCCACTACCGCTGCTATCCCAAAAGAAGGGTTCTTTCACCCAGTATGCATACCAATACACACAGGGTCCAGGTATTTATTTTATGTCTGTGCAGAAATGCGTGCTGGGTGCTAACTCCACAAAGCTAGCACACCACACAAAAGAACTTCAGTGTATTTATACACTTCAAACTACAGAAATGTACATTTACTGTAATGACCACTGGTTAGTTTCTTATCACTTTGTCCCTCATTGGTTAGTTGTATTTAGACTCACTCACTATGTAAATTAGCACACATGCTTCTTACAGGGGTGGGGGGGCAAGCCTTTCTGGTCTTTAATTAAGTCGGTGGTCTCAATCTGTCCCTGCTGCCTTTACCTTTCTCCCCGTTTTTGCTTCTTGGGCAATCATCCAGCCTCTGGCGCCTTCTGGGGCAGGATGTGCCTTTTTAATTAATCTTTTAGCTTCTCTTCAGGGACACAGTTGTTAGCAAGGCCTGCATTGTTTATACAAAGCATTAGGCTTACACAATAAAGCCAATGTTTAGTGGTCCTCCTTAGCAGATTTAAATGTGGTATATCTAATTCTAACTTGAATAGTGTCACTATAACTTGGGCATTAACCCAAACATATGGTTTTACTCAGCCTACACCGCTACAGCTGAGAAACGATGGTCCCTGCTACCTGGCCCATTTATTTCACGCTTCCCTCAGGGTGTTCCCCACGACGGAGGTTCCCACAGTCTCGCCGCGGTGGCAGACACACGCATGATTCACCAGGGACTGTTTGCCTTGGCCCGGAGGTCCTCCGCGAGGGGAATGGGATTTCCATTCCCCGACGTTTCCCTTGGTCGGCTTCCCTGGAAGGGAGCGCGGGCCGGGCCCGGGGAGCAGGGCGCTGGCCGGGGAAGGCTTGCCGCCGGCCCGCCGCCAGACCCAAACCACGCCGCCTTCCACCAGCGGGGACCCCACGGCCCTCTCCTGCGGGGAGAGACCCCTCAGCCGGGGCAGGCACTCCCCGTCGGGGCTGCAGGAGCTCCCCTCGCCCCGCCGCCGGGCCAGGTCTGAGAGGGAGGAACCGACGGCGGGGCCGGGTTGTGCGGCGGGGCCGGGACCGGGCCACCGCAGCCGGGAGCCCGGCGGGGTGGGAGGGAGCGGGGCCGGCATCCCGCGTCCCTGGCGGGGTTGAGGGGAGGGAGCGGGTCCCGCGTCCCTCGGGGGGCAGGCGGGAAGGTGTGAGGCCCGCGGCCCGTGTCCCGCGACGGCCGTCGGTCCCGCTCCTTCCCTCACAGCGGGCGGGAGGGAGCGGGAGGACAGTCCGCGTCCCTCCCGCGGGGCAGGAGGAAAGGAGCGGGACCGCGTCCCTTACACGGGGCAGGCGGGCGGGAGCGGGGCAACAGCCTGGGTCCCTCACGGGGCAGGAGGGAAGGAGCGGGACCGCGTCCCTGACGGCGGAGGCGGCTGAGGAGAGAGGGGCCCGGCCACCCGCGGCTGCCTTCCGGGGCAGAGCCGGCTTTGGCGCTGCGGGCAGGGTGGCCTGTGTCCCCCCCCCAGAGGGACCAGCCCCCGCTCTCCCTCCCCTCAGCGCGGCTGAGCTCGGGGACGGGGCTGGCGGGAGGCGGCAGCTCCCCTCGCCCCGCGGCGCTCCCGGGGGGGCGGGAGGGGAAGCGCCGTCCGGGGCCGCGCTGAGGGGGGAGGAGGCGCTCCCGCGCTCGCTCCCGGTCGCCGCCGCTGCCCGCCGCCGAGCGGAGCGGCCCCGCCAGCCCCTCAGGTAAGCCCGGCTCTGCTGCTCTGCCCCGCCTCGCCTCTCCCCGCCCGAGGGCCCCGGCAGCCCCGCCGCTTCCCCCGCCGCCCGGCGGGGCTCGGCATCGCCGACACCTCCGGGGCATGGCACAGCCTGCGGTCACCCGGGGCCCCGGCTCGGCGGGGGGACGGTCCTTCCCCCGCGGCGGCGGTGCCCCGGGAGCCCCTCCGGGTGAGGGGGGGCGGCCGGGGAAGGGCCCCGCGGCCGGCGGGGCTGCAGCGCGGCCGGCGGGGGCCTGGCGGGGAGCGGGAGGCCGAGGCAAGGGGCCGCGGCGGGGTCCGGGGCTGGGATGGATGCTCGCTTGCTGGGTCCTGCCGGAGCGGTTTGCTGCTCGTGTTTCGGCCGCAGGAGAAATGTTTCCCCGTGGACTGCATGGGTCTGAGCAAACTCCCAGCATAGCCTCTTCCCCGTGCATGCTTCAGTAACTCATTGAACAGTGCGTGTGCTGTAAGGAAAAAAAAAAAAAAAAACACTATGTTTTAAAATCAGTGCAGAATCGGAGCCAAACTTCACCTAGAAACATTTGTTAGTGAGTAGCCTGCAGGTGTCTTTACCAGCTTCCAGCAGGAGAGGATGCGGCGTATCCCCGGGCAGTGGGTACAGCCCTGCAGGTACCCCTGCGCTGGAGCGGTCCCCTCGGACACGCAGCGTGGGAGCCGCCGAGATTCCTGAGAGCAGGGCGTTTGCTGGAGATGGGAGGAGTGGGGGACGGTTTGCTGCGTGTAATATATTTACCCTGGAAACCCAACCTAGATGGTGCTCTTTAATCTTATAAAAATTGTTGTGGCATCTTTAACGGCCACATACTGCTTCAGAAGGCAGTTCTTTCCATGTCAGACTAGTTGCTGTCACTGCTTAACCGTAAGTTAGTGTTGATTGAGAGGGAAGAATGCAACCTACTGATTTATGTGATAATTCCTAAATGCTTGGGTTTTCTTTTGGGCCATCAATCAAGGGATAAATGATCCAGACTGAGACCTGAAAAGGTGACATGCTGTGTTACACGTTATAGTTGTTCTACTGGCAGGCAGCAGACTACTTCAGAAGAAATTATCATACTGATTCCCATCATAAATTCTCCTTAAATCAAAAGCTGAATAAAATACACATATGGCTTTTCCATAAAATCCTACAAAATCTACAAAATAATTTTTGAATTATACACTTTTCACATAGATGTATCAGCTTTAAGCACTGGATTTTTTAAACTTCTCATTTACTGCATATCACTATAACTATATTCATCAAATTCAATTTTACTTATATCCTAAGAAAATGTATCATTCAGTTACCCAGGGCTGCAGCTAAGATCCTCAATCTTGCACTCAGTATTCACACCTAATTATTTTCCGTGAGTCTTTCCATTGACTTCACTGGGATTTCTCACAAACAAACTAATGCACGTTCTAGTGATTATGAGCTGGGACCCTGGGACTCAGCTGTAATAAATAGTAAAAGATGTTTTAGTCAGTCCAGGCAAGCTAGGGAAGGGCTAATCAGATCTAAATACTCTCCCATGACTTATAAACTAACTCCATGGAAGGGTAAACCACTAAACACTGCTATTTAATTATAATCTGGACATCATTAACAAGCTCCTTTTATATTGTGTACTCATTGTTAGATCGTGTTTTCCTTATGAGCAAGGAGTATTTGGAATGGAGTGCTTTTAATCCCCAAATTACTGTTTTACACTGGTGCTCGTACTAGGGTCAGTGTGGGTTTGCAAATAAGTTTCAGAACTGCTGTATCCTTCTTTCATAAAAAAAAAAAAAAAAAAAAAAGCGCCTTTCTGTTTGGAATTAAGCCTGTTATGGTTTGTGACTGTACTTCACAGAGACAAAACTAAGCAGCTCACACATGTATTGTATGTCATATAATATATGCTTTCATATAAATACCTACTCTTCATGGTAAAAGTGAAGTTTCTCAGTTTTCCCATGCTCTTCTTTTGGGAACTTTGTGGAAACTCTGATGTCTAGATCAGATTCAGAACCAGAAAGTGCAAAGAGTCTTCCCCAAAAGAACAAGATAATGAAAAGGTCTATAGTCCAAGTGGCAACTGAAGAAAATCATAACATGGAGATTGGTGTTGTCATAAAATAAGAATTCCCACTGCTAAAGCTTGCTGTCTGACCACTGGAAACTCTGGTGAGTAAACCATACTATGGGTGCACTGTTTTACAGCATCACTGTTAACTTTTATGTGGCGAGTTTCTGAAATTACTGAAATGGTCAGCTTCAGCTCTGAGCAGGGGTTGGACCTGATTACCTGCAGAGGTTCTTTCTGACCTAAATTATTCTGTGATTCTATGATTTAGTAGTAGTTAGTTTTACAACAGTGATACCAGGAAGCCTATATGTGATTTAGAGGAATGACTTAAAAATAACAAATAGATCCCTTAACGTTCTTTGTTTCATTAGAGTTGTAGTAAATTAAATTATACATGTAGTACATATACTCTAAGCCCTTTAGATAACTGAGTCCATTGTGTAAGAGTCCTACCATGATATTTACACCTCACAATAAAATTTAATGCTGATCTTTGCTCTTTCTGATACTCTGTATGCTTTGGTGTGTATACTCATGAAGATGTGTGTGTGCATATCTGACCTTTGTGGTTGGACGGACAAACTGTTCTTCCCCCATCCCCAGTGCTCTTCTGATGGTTTCCAGAAAGTGCTTGCCCTCATGTATCCTATAGCACCTTCAGCTGCACTCTGCATACACATACTCATGTACAGTGTTGGGTTTGTGGGAATATTTGGCTGACTACCAAATATCATCCACTTCCCTTTTAGGAACTGCTCCATGCTGGATTTTGGGTCTTCCCTTTACTGTTTCAGAATCTGAGTTTGTTTAGTCCACTGTCACATTTGATTTTATTAGTCCAAGACACAACTCAGCTGCGGGCATTTGTAGCAGCAGCCAGAATAATTAGGTAGTGGTGGAGTTTGTTTCAGCTGCAGCCCAATTGCTGTACAAGGCAGGGGGATCTCTCAGAGAACACTGGAATATCCTTTTAGCTGCAGAAGTGGGGATGCGTGCCGCACAGGGCAGACCGTGTGAAAGCATAGGAAATAAAGCTGGAAGACTTTGTGAATCTGTCGTTGTTGTCCTGTCCCCATCACTATGCAGACATGTCTGGAACAGGCCAGTTGCCATCACGTGCCAGGATTGTACCCTTCTGCAGACACAAACCAATGTGTGGCCATAAAACTTCCTGTCAGTAAGTAGACCTTTGTGGACCCATCCAAAGGATTTATCCCAGTCTTCTTGTGCTGGAGTACACCACTGCTGGTCCTAAACCCCCTGCAGATTTGGGTTATTCTTAATGTCTGGACATTTATTGAGATTGATAAAAGACTGATTTGCCAAGTCAATGGTTAGTTTTGTTATGGTGGTGGTTTGCTGTGCTACTATGAAAGCTGTATTTGGGTTGTGTGTCTCAAAATACACCTGAATTACTAATTGACTTTTAGATAATGAGTTTCCTAGATTGATCTGATACTACTGACAGCATGAATGGCCCAAGTTAGCCTCTTAAAAGGAGCTAAAGAATGTGTTAACAAGGGAGTACCACTCTGCTGCTTTGCAGAACCTGGTGTGTTGATGGGTAGGTTCATGTGCAGGTAGTGCCTGCCTTCAGGGTTGAAGAGCAGATGATGAATTTACAGACGTAGAGCGCCTGCAACCTGTTTTTCCTCATGATTTAACCATATCAGTGAAAAGCAGTTAACAGCCATGATTTAGGGGAGTTCTACCTGTCCTGTGCTGCTGAGCCTCGTGAAGCCCTCCTTGTGCAGCAAGGAGTCACAGAAAATCCAGTGCATCCTCTGGTGGAACAAGATGACAACAGAGTGATCTTTTGTAAGGATAAAGGCAAGATGTTGCTTCTTGCTGATGTGCTAAATATCATCCTCCTGACTGTGGCCAGCTGCCCCCACATGCCACCTGCATAGTCAGGGACGGATATCTAATGATGTTGGACTCTGTGGGTCTCTGTAGCTATTTTTCAGAACTGGAAAATGGCTGTGTCAGCAAGTGGTCCAGAGAGATGGAGGAAATTATTAATATACTATGTTCTGATGCCTATGCCACACACAGTGATTTTAATGAGTAATGGATTAGTAATGCATGTGCTGGCTTGTGGATGGTAAAGTACTTTGGAACATGTTATAACTGATAGTTAACAGGGCTTTACAGTGCCTGCTGTCCTTATTTTTTTAATTTTAGAGGTGATAGGGTTGTAAATGAGATATTTTGTGGCTCGTTTAATAAGAGCTCATTGGTTTTCCAAGTAACTCACTGTGCTTGCTGACTTGGGGACACAGACTCTGATTTTATTGACTTATATAGATCACTTGCAGTTCCTTTAACTTCAGTAAAAGCTTTTGATTTGATCGCAGTTTCCTCTTATCTTAGAAATGGGTAGATAATGAGGAGTGCTGAAAGAACTTCAGAACGTTTTCCCTTTTATGCTCTTATGTTCTTTATAACTTAAAAACACTGAAGTTAGATCTGCTGGCAGCTTAATGAAAGTAAATGGCTGTCTCTTTTAACTGTCAAACAGGGAAAGCTGAAGGCAGCTCTCTAGTGTTAATAACTGCTGCCTCTGGTGCTATTTTTGTCTTCCCTTTCCCTCCCATCTACGATGGGAAATCATATAGGGTTCAGGAGAGGGAATATGATCTGCCGCTACTGAAGGTGTTGATGTTCCAGGTAACTGCTGAGAATTTCTCCTTCTGTGTATTGTGTCAGTTTTGGTGGCAGCTGGAAAAGGTGGAGAGTTTAAGGGTTTGTGGAGTTCATGCTTCTGATTTAGCCTTGGAAGGGAACTTGTACTGCAAGTTGAGGAAGGAGACCACCCAGAGGAGCATGAGATATGAGCTGAAACATATTACTACCCTGGTTTTCCAATTTCTTTTTCAGCATGATTTGCCCAGCAAAGACAGGTACATTTCTAAAGTACCTGAATGAAAAAAAGGTGGCCTTCCAGACCAGTGGAAGGATTTCCCAATTCTACGTGAAAGAAATTTTCCTGAAGTGGTGGGGTAAGAGATAGAGGGATGCTGACTTCAGCATGAGCCACAGAGCATCTCCTCTCCCTTGACATTATTTAAGAGTTATCACAGTGAAGAGGACAAATCTTATTAACATGCACTGTGCAGTGGTGGAGGTCATTGATCTATCACCACTGACACTGAATATTCAGTAGTGTCTCTGTCCAAAACAGCCAACAATCCCTTATGAGGAGACTTCCATGGAAAGATATTTGAAAGAGTAGGAACAGGCGTGTGTTGCTTGAGTGCTGTCCAACAAAGGAAATAGGTATTTTAAAGGTGAAGTCACAATTTCATTTTAAGCATTCTTATACTGTAATTCATGAAAATTTAAAATCCATAACTGCATCAGAAAAATGATTCTGTTGCATGGGTATATGGCTAAGCAAGAACAGGTAACATGCATAAGAAAACACCACGGAAATATTTAGCTCTTGAATAGCAGCCAGTTAGGGAGCAAGGGATGCCTGAAAAGAACAAGAAAGCCTGTCTGTTTACTTGCTGTCTTCTAGGAGAATCTCCTCCTTTTTACCAAACTTCTTCAAGACAGCTGCAGATATTGCAAGCAGCCCTCACCAGATTGTACTTCTGTGAGCAGCAGTTGCCTGTTCTCTGTTAGGAGCTCCTGCACACATCCAGCAGAGCAGTGTGCTGCACTGACTGCTCCAAGGTTGCTTTGAAAGCCCTGCATAGGACCCTCTTTTTCCTTTCTCCATGGGTAGAAGAACGTAGCAGTGGAAGCCAGTGCATCTGGTGCTCAACCTGGTTGAGCACCACGGATTGTCACACCTTCTCTTGGTGTCTTTTGCTTTTGAGGTGTTTGGGATGTTTGTCATATAGTGACTTGGTCTTGGGTCTGTCCAGGGGAGTTGGCTCCCAATGGTATAATGCTGAATACTCCTGCTGCCACAGCTGGAATCAAAGTGCTTGAAACATATTTTCCAGGTAGCCACAAAAATACGTGTTTGTAAGTTTGGTACTTTGGGAATGTGTTCTCAGCTGGTAGAGCAACGGTTAGCCAGCAATGGGAAGCTACAAAGGGTTGTGCCAGCAGCCTGGAATAGCCTGCTGGGAAAATGAGGTGTTAAATACCAAATGTGGTGCAATAAACACCATCTGACTTCTGGAGCGAAGACAGCGGACCTTGCAGAAGACCCAGAAAATAAACAGAACTGCCGGAGGACTGTATGCAGAGAAGCTGTGCAACCACAATACAAACTGGTCATGTAAAAATACAAGCAGCAGTGAATGCAAATATGTACCTGGAGCTAGAGCAAAGAACGCAAGTCCAGATTCTCATCACCTCAGGAAAGCGGCACAGAAGCTTTCAGTGTGGATGACAGCGTGGCTTGGCTCAGTGGCTTCTGTTATCACATAGACAGCCTTTGGCTTTGGGAACTTCTTTTCTTTTCTCATTGAAAATTGATGCAATTACAGTTTAATTTTTATTTTAGATTACCTTATATATCAAAACTTGTAAGAAGAGGCAACTAAAGCTCTCCGCTGTTAAGCACTGTTTTCTTTTGAAGCAGTATTTCGAAACACTGTTTGTGGGGGTAGGAGTGTGTTGATAATCTTTTTTTAATAAGAATTTGATCTTTTTTGGTGGAACTATTAATAAGCTTATTTTCTGGTTATCAGGCTGATAAAGATATTGAGATCTATGGGCATAAAGTTTCTGAATCAAGACGAAATACTGTTGAACAATAGAAGTGATCTTAAGTTTGAATAAAAAGGTCCCCAGAAAACTAGGCCCTGTTATTCAATGCTTCTGTTGCTGTAGTACTCCCAACCTTACTTTTCAAAGGGACTGGTAAATTCACACAAAACTGAAAATGTACTGCTTTCATATGTTTCAGAATTCAGTGACAGCTAATGAATGATTATGTAGGCATTTCGGTTTATATGGTCAGCTAATCATATGATATTTGCATGCTATATAAATATTTTTCTAACAGAGTTCAAAGACTTAAAATCACAGCAAACAAACACTTTTTTTTTTTTTCTTATTTCTGAAGTTGTTTGGGGACATTTGTGAGCTTAGTGAATTTGAAATTGCAACCAAATATCAAAAATTGCTATAAGTGCCAGAATGTAAGAGGGTTTAGTTTGGGTACTTTGCAGAACTGGTAGGACTGTCCTGAGTTACTTCTTTATCACAGTTTCCTTTGGCACTCTGCTGTTACAGGATGGTTCAGCAACACGTTGTGAAGGTGCTCTGCCACTGTATCATTGGTTCTCCATTAACGTGGCATCAGGAACAGGTGAAATGGCTTTACTTAGAGATTAGCCCAATCTTCACAGCTTTTTGGGATGGATAGGAAGGAGGGAAGAGTTAGGCCACTGATAACAGAGTAACAGCCAGACAGCCCTCTTGAACAAACTGTTCATGCCTGGTTCCTGTGACAGCCTTGTAAGGAGCATATTTCTCTATGCTCCTTAACATTCTGAGCATGGCTTCCATGTTTCTAAAACATTGGTACCAGAACTGGCATGTATCCTTGAGGTCCTGTTGACTCGTGCTGAAGGAACAGGCCAGAGAGAGAGGAGGCCCCCTTGCACAGCCCTGTGTTTGTTGATGATGTTCTGAGAAGTGAGGAGACAACCTGGGAGAAGCTTTCATCAGTAATCTTCAGCAGCAGCAACAACTGTTGCCTCCAGCAAAATTTGTTCCATTTTCAGTGGTGTGTGCTGCTTGCAGTGTCCATCTGTTTCTCACTAGAGCACTGGAAGTACTCTACCAATAATACCAACCACTTGTCTATGCTGCTGGGGCTTCAAAAATTTATTTTTTTGTGACCAGTATTATAAGCACCAACTATTTACAGCTCTTTCATAGTTTGAATGTCCTTTAATCATGTATTGCCTGTTACTGGATGATATTGAGCATTTAATGAAGGCTGGGCATTTTGAGTGCAAAGACACAGTTCATTTTGCTCTCCGGCATATACAGCAGAACATTGTGTTCACATTTGGGGATGCTGACTAGGATGCACAGAAGGAAAGATAGATTGATAGACAGAAAAAGAGATCAATGTGTAATGGTTGTGCAGGACAGATTGAAGAATAATGTATAAAATCTCTTTATTAGAGAAAAAAAATATTTACTCAGAATGTTATTTTCTGCCAGAGAGTATATCATGATGGGGAAAAAAAAAATCAATTCTCTTTTTGAACTGGGGCATTTAGTTGCCTTCTGTTACAGATCTGTGGCTCTATCTGCTTATCATGTTTAGAACCCCATTAAAGTTATTTTCAACATCATACTTACTTAACCAAGAATTAATATTAAAATTTGCACTGCTTCTAAAGTTTCCACTCAGTTTCAGGTAGAACAGTTCTTTGTTGTGAAAGTAGGTAGTTTTATCCATCTCTTGTGCACCTAGGGGAGCTCTTGACTAAGCTTCATCATATCACCGGTTCCAAGGCTGAATCAAGCTCCTGTGAGATGCTCTCTTCACAACCTGCAACAATAAAGTTTTGGGAGAAGGTGGAAGGAATTGGCATCTGAGGAAGCCCACCAACGAGGGACATGGCCAGAAGATGAGCCTCTGGCGTGTCTTAGCTTTCTGGTTATGGGCAGTCAGCCATGGCTTTTGATGGTGCCTTAACAAACTCCTGGGCAGAAATCATCTCTCAGTGTAGGAATTTTGCCTATCAGTTTGTTCTTCTTATGAGAAAACTTCTCCTATGGCAAGCTCATTGCCACTTCTCAGAAGTCTCCTTGAGTAAACAAGGTTCATTCTGCACTGTTATCTTCATGCTAGCAGCCACAGACAGTCTTTTGGAAAGGAAGCACAAGCTGTTGCCAGTTCTCATTTATAGTTGCTGGTTTTGGAATATATTCCCTTCTCTTGTTTTAATTCTCCAAGACTTTCTGAAGCAAGTATCCCTCAGACTACAAGAATCATTAAACTTCTGAAAAAATGCAACGGAGTGCTGAGTAAAATAAAGAAAATACATCTGTGTCCTCTTTGAACCTGTTTATGCTGGCAGGCTGACTGAAACAAAGTTCCTTTTCTTGCTTTAAAAATACTTGATTATTATGAATGATTGTAAAAGTTGATATAGTTTAAGTGTTAACTATGAGTTTCAACTAACAATATTGCTAAACACTATGCAGGGTCTGCTAACTGCTTCTTCATTACATAGATCTTTCTTGCAGGTGTAGGTGTTATTCCATGCCAATATATCTGCATGTTCGGATGTGATGGAAGGGAGGCAATGCAGCTGGGTGGCTGACATGATTACAGTGTATCTTTTTGTGTAATCAAAGAGCTCATTTCCTTCTCTCCTTTATTGCAGTTTCACATCCTTGAATGTCCCTCTATTTCTTGGAAGATGAAGAAAATAATTGCAGGCTTCTTTCTGTTATTTGGACACACTCTGCTTTCCACTGTATCTGTCATGGCAAAAGATCTCTCTGGAGGACATTTCACCCGAAGAAGAGATGTTAACTCACAATATCTACTAGGTAAGTTACAAAAAAACCCCAATAAACCCAAGCACCACCACCAAAAGACATCTAAAATACAAGTGATAAAAGACATGAGCAGCTGGCCAAACCTTGGCTGAGTTAGTTTATAATAAGAAGGAGACTGTCATTTGCAAGCAGGAATATGAGAAAGCTTGTTGACCAGTTAGCAACTGTTGAAAGAAGGTGTTTACTTTATGTAAGTGCTATGAAATAAATATTTGATACAGGACTGATGTCTTGGGAAAAAATACTTTAGTATCCCTGTTTAGAGAAAATACATATTGGTCCATGGAGGTTCAGTCAAAGCTGCTTTTTACCATGCCAGCAAATTTTAGCTGTCTATATGTATGTGCTCTGCATAAGGATGATTGAATGGAAATCAGTAGCTATCAAAATGAGGCTTGTCATTACATTATTTGATGCTAATGCCTTTATTTTGTCAGGTTAATTTTATTTATGAATAGCTCATTTTTCCTCTTGACAAAAATCTGAGGACAGGATCTAGCAGTTTTAGCTTGTGGCTGTAATATTTTAAAATATAGGGTTCATCTCTCTCTTGTTGATCACTGCCTGTACATCATCAGGCAGTTTGCTGGTCAACTTTTTCATCTGCTAACAGTGTGTGACTTAGAATAATTTTCTTCTGCTCATTGTTTAAAGTAATTGTCAGATTATGAAAACATAGCATGGATGGGGTTTGGACACAGCCCATCGCTAGGGATTCGTGATACACATCAATAGTAGATCTAATCAGAAATCTCTCTCCACCTACTGGGAGATGTTAAGTGGCTTGCCTTCCCATAAAAGCCACCTAATCTAGGTGAACATGAGGAATGTGAAATGTCCTGCAGAAGATGTATTGGGAAGAGAGAAGAATAAAGCAAGCCAGAACATGGGAGAATGGGTGACAGAGAGGGGAGCACCAAGTATTATCAGTGAAACTCTTTTTCCAGACAAAACATAATCCTTTAAATATGTAAAATTCCATGAAGTAACATTCACAGTCTGTCCTTTTTTAACTTAAAAAATTTGGTTTTAGTTCCTATAGAACAAATTTAAGCCAAATGACAACAGATTTCCCTTTCTTATTCATCTTTCTCAAAACTAATAGATGTGGTCTTGAGAGACTTGGGGTTCTGCAACTGAAGGTGGAAAACCACAGCTCTGGAGGTCTAGTCCACAAAAAAACATGGATGTGGAACAGCAAAGAGAAATACCCATATTCACACATTACTAAACAAGACTCTCAAACTTTCTAAAATACTAAATTCTAAAATGTGATTAAATAGCAGCCCCTCCTGAATATTTTAAGGTCCTCAGCAAACACCCTAAGTGACCTTATTACTTTAAGAAATAATCTACTTGTCTGTCTAGAAAATTAACAGAATTGCAAGGTGTTATGTGGAAAAACTAGAAGGTGTCACACTTCTCAGTTTGCCTTTTTTCCCTATGATTTTTTAAATTGCTTTTATAGCCTCTTTTTCATATTTTAAATAGTGGAGAATATATAAAAATAATTAGCACTTGATATAAATTAAAATGTGTGGATTAAATTATTTCTTTCTTCTTTGAAAACCCAAGTGACTTGTGTTTCCTGCATTTGGAAAATTCTGGATCACTATTCAGTTTGGCCTGTGCAGGATGCAAACAATTCTGGCAGCTCTGGCTGAAAGAACTTTTTCAAGACATTAAACGATGCAAGGAACTTGGGACATTCTCTGGTCCAGCCCATAAAAGTACGTGGCAATTTGGAGTCAGACACTTGGGCCTTGCATTCTGTTACAATAAATTAGGTCACCTGTTTCAGATTCAGCAGTGCATATAAACAGTGGCATGGTTAAAACGTGCCTTTCTGTAAAGAACTGAATGTGTAAAATGCATGCCACTGCAGGAAAGCTGTAGTGTTTCTTAAATGACATGAGAAAGAATGGGGCCAAACCATCATCTCAGTGACGTCAAGTCTATTAACTTAATAAAATCACTGCAGAATTACAGCAATTTAACAGGGATTAGAAGCTGTCCCGTTCTATATAATACATATATTATAAACAGTAGTGGCAATGACAGTTGCTGCTATTGTGGAAAGACTTGGCTGGCAGGCAGAAGTGAGCAGTATCACTGCAAAGAACCAAGAGATACCTGGAAAAGTAATAAAAGTTCAGGTTGGGATTTTTTGGGTGGAGGTATCTATGTTTTTAGGACTAAAATGAAGAATTATGCTATGTGAATATTAGTAACATTAACATATTTTTATTAATTTCTACTTCATTTTACCAATTTTTAAAACAAAAGTGTACTGCTGTGGTAACTATTTACTAGTAAAATACTAGTAGTGTGCACGTACAGAAGTAAAGTTCTTGCTCCAGGAAACTGACAGCGTAAATAAGCAAAATGGAATGGATGAAAAATCCTGTGGGATTGTCCACATAGAGATAAGAGTACTTCGGGATCCAGCTTTAGAAGGATTTAATTTTTCAGCAGCCATGCACTAATACTTCATGGATTTCTTAATTGTTTTCTTAGGGCTAATAGCCTATACATTTTAACAAAGCTTTCAGAAGGAATGAGCTATGTCTTTTCCTATGTTTTTCTTATCTCTAGTCTTTCTGCTAAACCTCAATGTGTGTTGTTTTAATTTGGCAAATCTTTGCATTGCTTATTATTGCTTAAAATTATTATTGCTATAGCCAGTAATTTCCATTAAAGATCTGAAATCTTTTGTACAGGGATCAACTGGACATAAAGTTTTTGGAACTCCGTCTGTGTCCCTTGAAAGCCAAACTGCTCTGCAAGTTTTCACTTCTTTAAACACTGAATCAAACTTCAAAGTACTTAAAACTTGTCAATTGTGCCAATTTAATTAAATTTGTTAACATTTTATTAATTCTTTCTTGTAGCATATTAGTTGCAGAACACGTAGGTGCTTTAGGGATAGAAAATATACATGTATTTCTTGTAATAACAGAATTTGTATTAGATTGCTGTAAAAAATATTGTTTTAATGTAGGTATATTTATGTTTTAAAGGATCGTTTCCATAGTCCTGCAAGATCTTGTGAAATAACAGAAAGAAATAGGGTGGTTTGTCTTTCCTGTAGCAGAGAGCAGTCACCTCTCCCCTTATTGCCTTTTCTTTCCCCTCATCAGTAATTTGATCCTGAATATTGGATCTCTGGCCTTATCCCAATTCCTTAAAGTAAATTAATAATTTGCTTTAGAATCTTCTCTTTTAAAGGTTTTATCAGAACTCTGAATAGTTTTTAGTTAGCTCTGACAAAATCATTACCCCTGCTGAGCACAGCTGCTTTGTTAGATTACACACAGATCACTGAAAGTACAGTTTGCCAATTTAGCATTGCTTTTTGGATACTAAAGAAAAGCAGTAATGGAAATATACTTGGCTACATGGTTATAAAGATAAAATTATGTTTGTTACATTAGCTAATTCCCTTCAAATATAACTGAAATGGACTTCTGCGGCTAAACAGACTGGTGAAGAGCTGCATCAGTTGTCCAGAGTGGTGATTTCCATACTGTGATTTCAAGGCCACAGTCCTTTCATCAGTACCTTTCATCGCGTTCCATGTTCAGAAGCAACACATGCCCAGTCCTTGCAAGATACAGCTTTTTTTGGTGTTTGATGTTGTCAGTTTTTTGGTGGAGCGGATTTGGGACTAACGCCCTACTGCATCTTAATCATTTATTATAAAACAAAGCAAAGCCAAATTTCAACATTGTGGAAAAAAAACCAAGGTGGGGTGGTTGGTTTTTTTTTTGGTTGTGTTTTTTTTTACTTGGTGAACTTTTGTAAACTGGGCATGTATTTCGTGTCACATGAGCATATTTCTTTGGAGAGCTCTGAAGCGGGTGCATGGGAATAATTGGATAAGCTGTAGAATAATATTTTAAGCAATAACATTCCTTCTTTTCCTTAGCAATATAAAACAGGCACCTACCTGTATTTGAAAATACTATTTATGAAGCTAATTAAGGGGGCATTCCTCTGGATACTATGTGGTACCAGAAGAAAGAAACTATAAGAGATTAACTGATATTGCACAAAATTGAAACAGAGAGGGGAAAGGAGGCCAAGAAGGAAATGTACTTGGCTCCTGTTCAGTAGAAACTGCTGCTAAACACAAATGTCCTTGTCTGTGTTAAGTTATATTTTGCAACAAAATATATAATGATTTATCTCTTGGTTATATATATATGATTCCACTAATAACATGAAGGGAAGTAATATGAAATGCACAGAGTGCTCACTAAATTTATGAATCCCTCACTACGGTCAGTTAAAATTATTCCAAACATTCTTATATCCAACACAGTTCTTAAAATTGTGTGTACGTAACTTTAGGGCTCAAGAACATTATCAGATTAATCATTCTGGTTAAATTTTAGCCATAAATCAGAGGGGAAAATACGTGACAAAAGTGAGTATGGTCCATATGCTTCTGTTGAGTACAGATAACATTTCTGTTTAGTTTTGCTTGAAGTCATTGTACATTTATACACTAAGAGCTGGCCAGAGATCTCTAAATCCTGCTAATGTGGACTGCTGAACCAACACGGGATGATAACTGCTGTAAGAAACTCATTCACAGCCTCAACATAAAATGGTTTGGGTTGGAAGGAAGCTTAAAGATCATCTAGTTCCAATCCCCCTGCCACGGGCAGGGACACCTTCCCCCAGCCCAGGTTGCTCCCAGCCCCGTCCAGCCTGGCCTTGAACCCTTCCAGGGAGGGGGCAGCCACAGCTGCTCTGAGCACCCTGTGCCAGTGTCTCACCACTTTCACACTAAAGAATTTCTTCCTTATATCTAAATCTCCCCTCTTTTAGTTTAAAACCATGACCCTTCATCCTATCCCTACACCCACTGATCAAGAGTCCCTCCCCATGTTTCCTGTAGCCCCCTCTAAGTACTGGAAGGCCACTAGAAGGTCTCCCTGGAGCCTTCTCTCCTCCAGGCTGAACAACCCCAACTCTCTCAGCCC